AAAGAGAGAGATAACCAAGGTTGCCATGGCCTTGTAATAGTCCGACATCTCCAAAGGAGATGAAAACACGCCTGCATGACTTAAAAAATGTCCGTCCATAACATTGATGTATCAACTGCATCCTAACGGACTCGATCTCGCAGATCCGTATCTAGACATTGGGCTTCCGAGAAGGAAGCCAACCCTTAAACAAAAAAAGACAATAGATGAGATCCAGTATCGCTCTTCCTACACACAGGAAGGAACTTCGTGAATTCATTGGACCAATGAACTACCAAGGATGCTCCAAGACAGCAGACGAGTAACCATCGTTCTGAAACAGACGTGGGTTACCCAGTATCCATGACCGGTCGTCATGGACAGAGAACTTGAGTCCCGCGTAGAGGTCGAGAAGACTCTCCGGGATGACATGGACTTCGTCGCAAGTTTATCGCGCGTAATCGTGACAAACTTCACCACATCGTTTCAAAGCAACCACGAAATATTAAGGAACGTCGCCACGACTTATCCAGAAAAAACGATAGGGAGAACACGCAACGTGTTCCCTCATCAACACAACTGTCAACGAACTATGATGATTCTATCAGAATCAGAACCGTTCGTACGTTCAGCCCACGCACAAAGGTCCTTACCACAAGACCGAGTCAATAACAATGGCACTGTACGGCTCCGACATACTACCGCTAGTAGCGGCACAGTCTACCAGACTTGGAACATAAGGTATTTAACCCATACAAGGCCTGATCCCCTTGTAGGATTGCCATCGTGCGACGCACATGTCTACACCAATCTCGGAGAGTGCCCCGCACTTTAATTATATGTTCCTTGTCCGACTGATGTCGTGCCTTCCGTGACCCTTGTCAGGGGCGAATGCAATACACGGCCCTTAGCTTATTCGCGACTCGATCCTAGATAGGGTTTGAGTTCGACTCATGACTGAGTCTCTCGTGAATAGTCATTGAGACAGGGTCTCAAGGACCCGCTCTAGTCTACTAGGTTGATGATGAAAATCGCTCTAGATATTTGCCAGCGTGGAGTACTTCCACGCTACTATAGATAAATACTAGACGAATCTTCCACGCGTTCCGTTTTTGGATCGTGGAGTGAGTAGGATTGCTACCGCAACCTACTCTATCACACTCTACAGTCTCCCGCGGGAGTTCAGATCTACGATCCTTTGGTTGTGGATCTCTCTCGTTGATTAGTTTTCATAGCTTTCTAATCCTCTCATAACTTTCATTCTCTCAAACTCAAAACACTCGAAAGATCTTTACACTAGCTTTTAGCGTAGTGCACTTCCCCTACTTTTTACAAGTGGACGTTACCTAGTACTGTTCCTTTCACGTAATCCCCTTTATAGTTATTTATTTACCAACGGAAGGATAGCAACATACCAACGGAATGCTCTTCTGTCTTTCCCACAAGGACCCACAATGCCAGAGCTTTGCCTCTCGAGCACAACCTACAGTACTAGTACCTAGGCTCTGCCCAGTGCCAACAATCATTAATATATATATATAAGATGCCTCGCAATGCAAAGACCAACAAGTCAATGATCAGCGATGCGGACAATATTTCGAAATACCGAAAGCGGAGAAACAATGCAGCGTCCTACGTGTCAGTGTTCTTGTACATGATCGGCTCCTTTTCGCTAGGTTTCTTCTGGAACCAGTTGACTTCAGCCGTTTTCCAAGCCGAACAAGAGGTGGTGCATGAAGTGGCATTGTCGTCCTTTCTCGACATTCCGTCACCTCACAAAGCTGCCTCTAACAATCTATCGGAAGAAAATAATAATGACAAACGCCAACCCCAGCAAACCGACCACAAGGATTTCAAATTCATCATTTACCATGAAACACACGAGGCACAAGGCGAAGGAAACCACATGCATGGTCTGTTGGCAGCTCATTTGCTGGGAGACGAATTCCACCGAGTCGTTTGTGTGTCGAGCAACTACAAACATTTTCATGTCGCCTGGAAGGCTATTGATCCCACGGCCGTCGAGCATTGCCCCGATATAGTGCAGCGACACAACAAGGAACCGCCAGATACCAAAAAGGATCATACCATTGAACTTCTCAACTATCGAAGCACGCCTCCCAATGAATGTACCTTGAGGGGACTACTGGAATCCTCCGCCAGAGTACTGCATTTGGCCGCCAACACGTATCCTCGATGGCCCACCGTGCCCAAACATATCAATTTCTTTACCTTTTATCAAGCCAAACCAATACTCCTGGAAATACTACCCTACAGTCAACCACCACCCATTGTCATACATCTACGAAAACCAGACATTGATGGTGGTGATCGTCGAAAGGGAGTGGATGAAGCATCCATTCGAGCACTGGGAGAACACCTATTGTCACAACAACCCACTCCCTTTTTGGTCACCAACAATGTACCATGGTATGACATGGTGGAACAAGAACCCATGAAATGGTCTCATCCATTTTGGTACGTCGTCAGTCACTCGGCATTACGGTTTACGTGGGGGGCCAATTTCAATAAGAATAATGACGATCCCAATGGCAACAACAATAATATTCGAATCTACAATCCCACCAATGCCAAGGCTGTTCTGCTGCAACAAAAGTACAAGCAACTGCGACAACAAATGGGCGTTGACGAAGTTGAAATACTCCAACTGTGGGCCGATTGGTACACGCTACTCAAAGCCAAATCGGTATATCACACATTTAGTGACTTTTCCTTGTCGGCAGTCCACTGGCAAGGCACTTGGTCCCGAACATTTGATGGCATCGACGAAGAAACGGGAAATCTCATCTTGTTGGAGGAGAACTGGGTGGTCGATGGGGCAACACCACGGCTAGTCGATCGGACCAAAGAAGATCTCAATAATTGCGACCAAGCAAGACGGGGGTACTAGAAAACAAGCAACTACTGCTCTTACTGCTTACTTTGGAACACGGCATGATTGAATGATAGATTGAATCCTCCCTGACGAAAAAAGCCTTGGCAAGAAAGGACCTGGATCAGCTATACATCAATCTGCAAAGATCTGATGTCCTCAATATCCACTGCATAGAATCCAGTACTAGCTAGTGTCTCTGCCAGGATGGTTGGAGCGGAGCCTGACCTCTGAATCTGAAGGACGACAAATGGGTAACTGCCAAAAAAGCAAAATCTTCAACGGCTATGTACCAGACTGGAACAACCAAGGAAGCAGTGATGAAACTGGCCTTTCATACTATTCTGGTGGTCTATACGATGTACCAGGTACTAAGTGGCGCATCTGACAAAGATCCAGCATCAATGATCACAAAATCTATTTGCTCTACCACCGTAGTACTGTTAGATACTGGCTAGTCTGGTCTACTTACCGTACAAGCTAGCTAGTGAATCTAAACCAGCCACCAAGTACCACCTGTTCTCTACCATACTTCTAATGTCCTTCTTCTTCATCAATCTCCAACCTCTCTGTTTCAATGCTCTCATCAAGGCCTCCCAAAACTTGCGCCTTGCAGATTTCCACGCCGTGGCAGTGGTTCTCTATCTTCCCGAGGAATCGAGCTGAATTCTTTTGCGGACATTTGCACTCGGTGGTATCCGTTCCACAGCAGCGTGCATGACTTTCGATGGCATGTTCGACCCATTCGGAGGCAGAACGCTTCATGCAAATGGGATAGGGTGGCATCGCAGCCGACAAACACTCCGAACTGAATGCCACATCTGTGGGGCATTCGCGTCCAAGGAGACGACGAGGACCATCGTCATACGCCAAAACTGCAGTTGCCAGTAGCAGGGCAAAGAGAGAGCGGATCATCACCATGCTGATTATCCACAATGTATACAAGGTATGGTACCACGTACATGTAACAGAAAGAAGAATGTACTGTATGGAAGAATGCAGCAATGAAGGAAAAGGTAGAGGCACCTGACTCAGCAAGAAGGATGTGCATGTATCTCAGAAACACGGTTACATGATGCAGGAAAGTCCCGCAAAGCTGGAATCGCTGAAAGGATCTGTAAAAGTGTTGAATTTAGGTTCAACAGTGTTGACTTTTGTTAAACAGTTGTTCAACGCTTTTTTAAACCCTTTTTCAACACTTTTTCAACACTGTTGAATACTGTTTAACACTGAATTCAACAGATGTTGAATTCAACAGTAGATAGTTACAGTAAAAGTGTTGAAAATAATGTACAAAAATGCAACAGTAAATCCAACAGTTGTTGAAACGGAGTCAACATTAAATCAACAGTACTTCAACACTTTAATCAACACTTTTTCAACACTTTTTCAACACATGTTGGATTTATTCAACAATCCAGCTGTTTAATTAAAGAGTATCCCAAAAACTCAGCTTTTGCGGGACTTTCCAGTGATGACGCCCACCTTCCCAGACAGGGAATGAAGAGATTCTACAGAACGGAGAGTATGAGTTAACAGGGAGCCGACCATAAGGGAGACTGACGGACAGGAATCCGGGAGAGCCACTCATCCAAGGATGAGGTGGTGGACCGAAGTGTCGGGTGCACAGGTGGTGTGCCTATGTGGTGTTGATGACTAGCTAGAAGGACTACTAATCGGGCGGCTACAAATCAGGTTCACTTTTTCTGAACCAGAGTTGCAGCGCCCGACACCAATTTCCCTTTTTGACTGGGGGTATTAGTGTGACGTCCGCAACCTGAAAAAGTATTGCTGCCGACAGTGACCGCCTCCCTCGCCAAACCTTACTCTGAAGAAAAGTAAGCATGGACTTAGATTTTGATGAGCCAGCGGCGGTTCACACAGTGTGACTTCCTTAGGGTCGGTGTCGGAGATGGCGGCGTTTGCACACCGGCCGAGTGGTGTGCAAGAGATGTTTTGTCGAGCCCGATTCGTCATGAAGGGTACCGTCTATGTTTGTTTCAGTGACCTGTGGTATCAGTGTAACCGAGCCGGTCACCGAGGAGCTACTCGGTCAACCAGGTGGGGTACTCTTTGAAGGGGTGCTTAGACGCAATGACAAATAATTTGACGGAATCGCTAGTACCGCTTTGTCCCCCCACGAAACGGCCGCTCTTCAAGCCAAAGACGAGCTGAGGACGAAGCCTCGCTCCATGAAGGACCCGTCGAACGCTCTCCCGGGATAACGGTGGAAACCGTGAACATGGGATGGCCTGACGCCAAACGAGCTTTTTCGGGTGGAAGCACCAAGGGACGTGGAGGGTCGATCTCCTTCGAAGGCGAAGAAGCCCCCGCCTCGCCGGGACCTTCTCGAGCGATAACGGCGGATCTTTCAGCACCCCCATCCCGGTCATCAGGTCAACAGAAGATCGCTGCCCGCAAGAAAAAACCCGAAGGCTCGCTGACGAGGCAGAGAGAGCCCGAAGGATCTCGGAGCTGGCCGCCAAGGAACGAGCTAAGGAGGAAGTCGCCCAAGAAGAAAAGCGGCTCGCTGCAGCAAACTATGAGCAAAACGAGCCACTGAGATGGCCGTCCAGAGCTCCTACGTGAACACGAGGCAGCCGGAGCACAAAGAGCGAAGGCCGCTGAGGCCGCCAAATACAAGCAGGAAGCAGAGGTTCAGCGAGCGTTGAACAAGCCCTGGCCGCCAAGGCCGCCAGGAAGGACTCGAGATAGGCACCCGGGGACAGCGACGGTACGGCTCCGCCGACCCAGCTTCTCCTGGAGTACCATCAGTCCAACCAGCCGCTTTGGTACGGGTATGTGAACGGGGTCAATGAGCATACGGAGTGGTCAACGAACAGCGCAAGATGCAGCATTCGCCAGCGATAGGATTCTTGCCTGTGCCCGCAGCAACGGCTGCCGAAGCCTGGGAAGTGGGTGAGTGCCGAACATCGCCCATACAGCTGACAACGCCCCGGCACCCGACGAGATCCGGCGATGGGAAGTCCCTGACCCGCCAATAGACGAGTGGTACGCAATCCAAGCTGGCCCACCCACCATGCTCGCGGAAAGGACCCGTCTACCAAGGACAAGGGATGCGCATCTACACCATCCCCATCAAGGAGGGCACGGCAGTTCTCGTGAAAGGTTTGGCCCCAGAAGGAATCATTCCGCGAACGGCCAAAACATTGGGCAACCCCATGCTAGATGTATTGTCCCTACTAGGTAAGACACAGACCGGTGAACGCGACGATGTAACCAGCGAAATCAGAGATTCTCTCTTCGCCGCCGTCAGTGGCCAAACTGTCGACGACGAGGAGGTGCCCCGCGACCTCAAGTGGCAGCAGCCTTCCAGAAACTCAGTCTCAGCCTGAAAGAACGACGAAGACCTACGGGAACTCAAGCGAGATGTGGAAGAAGTGGAGGAACAACACCTTTGCCGGTCCATCGATCAACAACGCACCATCCTCGTCAGTAACGACTACCCTCTGAGCCTCGCCGACACCTGGAGTAGCGAGGGATTTATGGCCACACTCCACCGCAAGGGAATCAAGTATTACAAAGCCTTCCTTGACCATCTCATTCAGCTGTTGTCCGGCCAAGGATGGAACGCCACCACCACGGTCATCTAATACTATGTGAAGAAGTTGCGCATCATTCGGGCCAATTGCCATTCCCGGCTCATAGCCCTATGCCAACTTTATGTCACCCTCCGCGATGGATATGTAAGCGACTGGCTGCACCTAAAGCTCACGGACAAGAAATTGAACTCCCTGCTCACGCATACTGGAGGAGCAGAAGGTTCCCGGAACGGAGGAGCTGTCCCTCGCGGAATCGCCCTCTTCCAGAAGTGCGAGACCATCCTCCACGGTGGGACCGGCTGCCCCTGGACTGCCCTACGTGGGAATGCGGCAAAACAGGCAGGCAAGGAAGCCATACGTCGTTTGGCAGCTGGTGAAGCAGCACCTCCGCCCGGATAAGGAAGACAACGCCACCTTACCGCAGAGTCCGTAGGGGCCCAGAATACTATACATGTTCAGAAAGAAGTCTTCAAATGTACGAACCGCCGCGCGACGGTCCAAAAGCACTTGAGCTGACTACAACACGTGACGACCGAAGATCCACAACTTCACGTCAGCCATGAGCTCTTGGTTCCAGCCGAGAGACAATTTTGAAGGGGGACAGAAGGCAATCTGACAAGTTCGCTAACAATTACCACCCGTTATGTTACTTAATGCCTTGCTCGTTGTCGTTCTACACCACACGTAGGTGTCCAGAACGATTTGTATAAAAAAAAGAGCAGAGGTATGCTCTGTGCTCCCCGCGCATCCTCCACCCTCCTCCAAGAGGAACAAAATTCGATATGGAACCATCGGGAACGGCCTGGATTTGGCCCGTTTGGTTTGGGCAGGAGAAAACCACTTTTTCTCATGCCAGGACATCGATGTACAGTCACCGCTTTCTAAGCGGCCCAAGACCAAGGAAGTCAAGCACCTCCAACGTCAGAAGAAGACCTTCCTCAACTCCCAAAGACTAGACGCATTACTAGTGGACGAAGGCTGCGGCAAACAACGCAAGGAGGTTCTGACGCAGTTAAAACACTGTCAGGATACCGGGAAACCAAAGTCGATCATCTTCGGT